CCTCTCCTGGCACCCCCCTCCCTGCCCACCATCTGCCCTTGGCATACTCCAGCCCACCCCAGCCACGTTCACCCCAGACTGGGCTGGCAGACCTGGCGCCTGGACTTGACGCTTTGTTGAAGTGGATTGTGAAAGGATCTGTTGTTTCTTGTCTCTAAGCCCCTTGAGGACTTGATCACCACCCTTGGAGTGACAGGCACTTAGGAAGCCAAGCTTGGGGCCTCTTCCACTTATTAGCCAGGAAATCCAGTGAGGACTTACGTGGTCTCAGCCTCAGTTTCCTTATCTGGAAAATGAGCATGATATGAGGACCTACCTCAATGTAAAACATATAAAAATGTAAAGCGCTTGGCTACCTTATCAAAACACCATTACTGTCGTTATACTATAAATGAATCCTCCAAGTCACCTTGCGAAGGTGGCCCGTCACTCATACCTTCCCCAGGCTTACCTGCTTCTTCTTTACCGCTGTCTCCTGTTTGTCCTACCAGCCTTACAGTCAGGAGAAGAGAGCCGGGCTGCTTTACAGCAGTGTTGACATGACTTGGAAACACCCTATGCGTAGTACCCAGGGTGAGTACTGCCATTGGGTGACTTCAGACGTGTACAGAACCTTTCCTTTCCATGACCTTGACTGAGGAAGCCCTCCTCTCCCTCTCCTGCCCCTTCATCAGCAGTGGGGTCTCCACAGCCAGGACTGGGGTAAGGGAGTAGAAACCATATGTGAGAACAGTTCTGTGCCTGGTGACAAGTTTGGGGAGACAGGGAAGGTGATCCGACTCAGTGAGGTGATTTGTTTGAAGCTAACCACCAAGTTCGCTGTCCTAGAGTCAGAGCTGAACTCTGCTTCACAGGGCTTTTAACGACTGCGTTTTGGGAAGTAGGTCATAAGGCGGTGGACTCAGACCTTTCTGACGGCAGCTGAGAGTATTAACCACTCTACCTGGATACTCTAAAGTCCACTACAGTTTGGGTTAATGGAATTCCTATGGCAAATGGATGGAGTCCTGGTGTGGCGCAGTGAATTAATGCACCAGACTGCAAAGCCGTTTGAACTGCAAGGTCGGCGGTTCAAGCTCGCCAGCTGCTCCTCGGACACCCGATACAGGGTCGCTATGGGTCGGAACCAACTCGATGACACTTAACAACAACAACAACAATGGCAAACGGATAGCTGTGTTCCTAAACCCACTGTTTTTTAAGAGTTTATTCCTGTAGAGAGTTGGGGAGTTGTCAATAAACCGGTTGGTTTGGCCACTTAGACAAGCTGCCTCAAGATTGGCACCATCCCATACTGCTCTATCTGGGCTTGACTTTCTCTTGGTAGTCTCAACAGTGTGATGGCGAATTCCTGCTCTGTGAGGTTCAAATGCAGCCTTAGTCAACATACATTTCTCCTCCTGAAGGAAAAGCTGCTTCCTCTTTCTTAAATTATTTTGCTTATGTTGTAAAACTTGAATCTTTGTCCAAAATGGTGGTCATCCCCCTAGCAGGGGCACTGGGGAACCCCATGGCTGGAATCCCCTCCCTAGTTGTATTTGGTTGCAGTCCAAAGGTGATAATTTTTCACCATTCTCCTTGCAAATCTGAAGAAGCAGAGGTAGAAATGTTAAAAGTTGGCACAGTGGTCCAATCTTGGGCACGAGGAGCTCTGGAAGGACCTGAGCTCAGATCTTCTAAATCTGCAGGATTCTGCTGGGTCTGGAACTGCAGATGCCTCAGCGCTGGGGGGGTTTCCTTCACTGTTGTTCTTGTTGTCGTTAAGTGCCGTCGAGTTGGTTCCAACTCATAGCAATCCTGTCTAGGGTTTCCAAGGAGTGGATGATGGGTTTGAACTGCCGATCTTACAGTGAGTCTACCGTGCCATTCCTGGACTCCAAGTCTCTGCTGTAGCTGATTGGAATGCTAATGGGTCTGCGCTCACTCATTAGTAAGAGGCTTTGGAACTAGCTTGTAAAAGGCAGAGTCCAACAAAGGGTGTTTAACGGAGGACCTCGGAGATGGGAAGGCCACTCCATGGCCCAGTGCCAGCTGACCTTGTGTCTGGGTCAGTGTCTCAGAGTACAGCTGAGTGAGGGGCTGCCCTGTGTGTGTGCACTGAAGAATGAATTGTTGCGTGTCTGCCCAAGGTCTGCCAAGTTGGACACAGTGAGCCCTGGATTTCCAGCTGGTGGCCTTTCCCTGGGAAAACCCATAGCATTTTGCTAACTGGTGCCCAAAATCAACACCAGTTTGGGGGAAGTCTTACTGGAGCGTGTTGATCTTTGTTGTGATTATTAACTACTGCTGAGTGAGCCCCTGACTCGTGGTTTCCCCGTGCATAATGAACTCAAACTCTGCCACCCCTGTGCCACCCCATGATAGGCTGCAGATCGGACCACTGTGACCCATTGGGTTTTCATAGGCTGATTTTCAGAAGTAGATCACCAGACCATTCTTCCTAGTCTTAGTCTAGAAACTCCAGTGAAACCTCTTCAACATCCTAGCAGCACACAGAACACTGCTAACAGTGGTGGCTGTGCATAAGGTACTATAAGTCAAACCTGGGTCTCCCACATAAAACCGAAAACGATAAACCCTCGAGTCAGGTTTATAGTGACTCAGTGATGCCTAGTGATCCTCTATGGCGGAGAAGAACAGCTCTTTAGAGTTTCCCACACTGCAGGTCTATAAGAAGTAGGAAGTCTCATCTTTTTCCAGAGGAGCTGCTCTTGGATTTGAATTACAGAACCTGTGGTTATTGGCCCAGTGCTTAGCCCATAACATCACCAAGGGCTCCTTTGGTCTTCCACATTGTAGTTGTTGCGCCGTCAAATCGGCTCCAACTCACAACGACCTTGGGTAGGGTTTCTGAGAGCAGCTGGTGAGTTAGAACTGTGAGGTTAGCAGTATACTGTTTATCGTAATAATGCTGAACCACCAGTTTTTTTTTTAGAACTCCAGTTGGTTTTAGAACTAAATGTTGTTGTTGTTGTTGTTAGGTGTAATTGAGTCAGTACCGACCCATAGCCACCTTATGCACAGCAGAACAAAACACTGCCCGATCCTGGGCCAACCTCACTGCTGTTGCCACACTTCAGTCCATCGATGCTGCCACTTGGCCAATCCATTTCACTGAGGGTCTTCCTCTGTTTCTCTGACCCTCCACCTTACCAAACATGATGTCCTTCTTCGGTGACTGGTCCCTCCTGCCAATATGTCCGAAGTATGATAGACAAAGTTTGGCTATCTTGGCCTCCAAGGAGCACTCTGGCTGCACTTCTTCCAACATGCATCTATTGGTTCTTTTGGCAGCCCATGGCACTTTCAATATTCTCCTCCAACATCATAACTCAAAAGCATCAATTCTTCTACTACGGTCTTCCTTATTCACTGTCCAGCTTTCACATGCATATGAGGTGATTGAAAATATCATGGTTTGGGTCAGGCACACCTTAGCCCTCAAGCTGACATCTTTGCTCTTCAACACTCAGTACATGAGGACAATTTAGTGCAGCCACCACTACTGCTGAGCATTTCCATCCTTGACATTCTGACTTTTGAAAACACTTACCTGGTGCTCCAGTGTACAGGTGTGAGTTAGCTCTCTAAGTTCTTCGGGTTTAGTGGATGTCCTATCCAGAAGTCTCCCCTGGGTGTACCTTCACAAATAGAGAGTCTTGTTCCCCACAGCCTGCTCATCCCTAGTGTCCCCCCTGGCAGGTGGAATCCCCCAACTCAACAAGTGAGGACCACAAAGATGACATCAAGTGAGAGAAATATCTCAAATTTGATAAAAACCCAGAATTCTACCCCAATCCCCAAAGAACCAGATGGTTAAGCTTGGGAGTGGAGTGAAAGGGGCCTACGGGTAGAATTCGTTTGACTAAAACTACTTGCTCTGGCCTGTGTGTGTTTTATACAACAGATTCTCAGGGGCAGTTCCCACCACCAGCCCTTTAAACAAAATTAACGATGGAGACATTGTTTTCTGTTGGGAAAATAAGCAGCTGACTTAGGAGAGTTCATCACTGATGCCCTCCCGGGCCAGGCCTTCAGACCCCTACGCCCCGCGAAGACGGCTGAGTCCACACTGCCTCTGGATGGCAGCTGTGCCCTTTGGCCACTCTCTTCCGGCCTGCAGGCCTCCTGCTCTGGGGTACAGCCAGAGCTAGGTTCTTGACTGAGATGCTGGAGGTCTGGCTCGGGCAGGATGGATGGCTCCGGACAGCCCTGAGGTGCACTTATGGCTGAGATGCAGACCCGGAGTGCCCGCCAACCCAGCCACAAATAACTCTGAAGTGGGTTTTTGACCACTTGTCACCTCCTGTGCCAGAGACATATCTGAGTGCGAGAAATGAGACCCGGCTTTGTTGGTGGCGGCTTTGGGATCGAAGTCTGGAAAGGATGCCGGGGCTTGTCTGCAAGCAGAGTTTCTACTTGAATTTCAGACTTATGGGGAGGATTGGGGACGCACTCTCGCCCTTGCGCCCTACGGGGTTTGACCGTCCCGGAAACCCGGGCCTTTTCTGCGTTGGCAGCCTAGAACTTGGAGACCGGGGGGGGGGGGGGGGAGGGCGCGGGGGGGGGGGGGGCACTAGGAGCCCGGGTACGCCCTCCACTCTGGGGCCGGGGTTCCCCATGTTTTTTTGGCGAGCGCAGCCTCCAGGCCGCCTCGATCCCCGGCGGGCCGCCTTCCCCGCGGGCGGCGCTGAAATCCGAGCGCGCGGGGGCGGAGCGCAGCTGCGGGGCCGGCGGGGCCGCGTCGACATTGGAAGGGGACTGAGTGATGGATGCGAGGGAGGGGCGCCG